TAGGTCCGGGCCTACTGGGCCTTAGGGCAAATCCGCCACTGCGTGCCGTTTAAAGTATCGTGACTTGTATATTTAAATGAAGTTGTTCACATATAGTACAACACGATTAACTGTCGTTCACGTCCTTTTGACGTTACGACGACAGACTGTCGTAACAATGGGAAGAGCTAGGACATTCGTCACACGTATAAATAAAACGTCATAATAAAAATGTGACGACACATAATCGCAGCTTCAAACGATTCTGTCGTGTAGATGACAAGGTGGCTGCCGTGAACCGATAAATTGTCGTCTCGATCTAGCGGGAACAGCTAGATATGACAGTCGTTCAATCAATACATAAACCATTACGACATAATGAGAACGCGCCCTCAGCCTAGCGTCCACCTTGCTAACCGCAGAACCTTCGTTGTCGTATGAGGTCGACATAAATAATCGGCAGTTAATTTTCCCACCCAACTTCAGCATTTTTTTTTACGATACCAAGTGACGGGACGAACAAGTCGTGTGCCTGGTGGTAAGCGACACGCCTGTCCATATCAGTTGCAGTGCCACTAAGAGCTTTAAATCGCAATGATCCGTAATAGTTCCATGTCCCTGTAATTTGGCCAGCCAAAAATAGGTAAGGTGGCAGTACTTTCCAGGACGAACTCTCTCTAAAAGGGAAAGCTGAGGACAGGGCGAAATGGTGCACATTGTGAGAGGCCTATGTCCAGCTAAAGGACTGCGATAAGCTGATCATGATTAATTAATAGAAAGCAACATTTACGATTCAACTCATAATACTGTTTGCGAAACCCTCTATCAATTTAAAAAAAAGAATCCTTTTGTCGTTAATACAAAACAATACAATGACAAAGGAAAAGGTAAGTACTTGCAAATACAATATTAAGACAAGCAATTCAAACTGATGACTGTTATTTTATATATGCCTCGAATCACGTACACAATGAAAAGAATGAGTGTATTGACCTCGACGTATGTTTAGAGGAAAAGGGAAACAGATTTTTTTTTTAATATAAATTTGTGTTTTCAAAAATAGTTTAAAAAGCAGCGAGCTAACTTGCAGCAATTAATAAGAATATATCGACAACGTATTGTATAAAGTGAACATGTAAATAGTAATGCAGTAAGACAGAATCGACCGAAATTAAATTAAATTTAATACCTTACATATTGATAAAACTGGTATAGGTAGACTTGATAACGAACACAACAATAAATATTTAATATACTTTTAAAGATCGATAATAAAATAACCTCTAAAGTATTTAAAAAAATATCACATTGAGATTTGAAGAAAAAAAAATCCAACGACTTCATGCAAACGCTCTAATGCTGTTATTGATACTGATTGGTTTGTAAACTTGTTCCTAATCGTTCAAATGACAATTTGGCATCAACACAGAAACGGAACCGTTTAACAAGACCTCTTAGCCATTAACGAAATCAGTAGTGAATTATGAGGAGTGTAAAAATAGCAGGTCAAGTTTTGCTGGTGTTTTCGAATGGAGCAAACGTTTGTAAACAGAGGGAGGCGTGGGATTCGCTTACGATTCCTACGAATGTTTACAGTTGCCCCCCGCACTCCGTTCCACCGCCCGCGGCCGCCATGCCGGTAGTCACGTACGCAGGTCAGCACCGCGCGTGCGCCAAGCCGTACTACATTGCTGTTTCTTTTATCACTATTCAGTTGATATCGATATCGTGATAATAAGTACTTTATCGCTGAACTAGTTGCGCTTTTGGAAATACATTTGAAAAACGAATCATTATGTTACATTCCAAATTTAATATTATTGTGAGGTGCTTATTGTATTTTTCGATGTTTATAAGTTTTGAGCTGCCATTCTTAGGATAATAAAGTCGATACCTTATTTCTTGTGGCACAGTGGTCATTTTTATGGTAGGTAGAGATTACTTATTAGATGCTAGATCTTCCTTGTTGTTTAAGCTACAATTTCTGGAATATGTTCTTCTCAAACGTGATAGATACATCAAGCAAGGACTTACGGATGTCGCTAAAAATATAACAAAAGGCCACACTATGACACAAGGCTGTAAAAAAGACCCAAAGGTCTTTATTTTAACAATTATTTATTACGTCACTGGTATCATTAAAAAAAAGCAGTGGTAGCTCAATAATTTGACCTACTGCCTTTCAAAGCAGAGGCCGCAGGTTCGAATCCGGACTCGCACCCCTGAGTTTCTAGGAATTTATGTGCGAAATTTAATAGGAAATTTACCATATACTTTTCGGTGAGGGAAAATATCGTGATGAAACCGGCACGTTGAAGAAGGTTCTCAACCCTAGGAAAACGTGTGAAGTTCCCAACCCGCATTGGGCCAGCGTAGTGGATTATGGCCCAGAACCCTCGCTTGAGAGGAGATCCGTACCCAGCAGTGTATATAAATGGGATAATGATGATCACTTATAAAAAAAAACTAAGATTATTTAAATAAGTGTAACAAGTCGAACCATAAACTTTGATGATTCAAAGTCAGACCGCACAGAATGAATAATAATAAAATAATCATAATAAGTTAATTAATTAGCTGGCAGACAGTTGATAAAACGGAATGTGTGATTGTAGAGAGAAGTTTACTAACTTATATATGTATAATATTGAAACGATATTCAACAGATGGACAACTCATTCTTATAACAGAACGTTTATTTATCAAAGAACCTCTTTTAGAATATGAGCTAAAGATAGAGAGTTTACAAACATTAATTTCTTTGGTAAGTATATCTCGTGAATTGTATTAAGATATGTGGAAAATTTGTATAACGGTACCAGCCCTCGTAGTATGCCGCCTGGATAAAGCTATTATGTACACATTTTAGCTCTGAAATTCAAGTGATAAACCGGCATTTTAAAATTTTATCACAGAGAGCGGGTGCGGGTCGGGAGCGCGGCGGGTCTAATTTCGTGTATGCAAGAGCTCCCGACCCGACACGCGCCCAACCCGCACACGCTCTCGGTGTGTTTCAAACTTTACAGCAAATCATTTTGTTCTTCCTGTAAAAAAATACATTCAAACCACATACTAGATATTCACTTTGGGGTGACGAGATAATAATAACGCACACACTCATAGCTCTGCACTACGGAAACCCTGTATCGCGGGTATCATGGACACAAACAGACAACCACAAACCACACCCAATCTCACGAGGGAAATCAATATAGGTCATACAAATATTTCTCTCGGCCAAGTAACCGAATCTTGCATAGCAGACCAGCATGGTAACCCGTTCGGCCACAGAGGCAGTTCAAGTGTCCCCAAACTGTCAACTGTCAAGGAATTGAATTGGTTCATAAAATAAATTCCACATGGGGTCATATGGTCTATCAGTAGTCCGAAATGACATTTTCCAGAAATTACGTTTGCGCTAATTTTCATAACCTCGAAAGTAATTTGAGAGGAAAATGTTTTTTTCTTTTAAACCTAACTTAACCGAACCTAATCGTGTCTTTGCGATAAACATCGAACATATCCTCAAAGAATTAAAATGAAAATTCGAACAAACGTTATATCCGAAACAAACTTTTGGATTTGGGATAGGTTACCTCCACGGGGATCATAAATCTATGGCTCAATTTATATTGCGGCGGAACTTAATGGAAGCGAATTTTTGTAACGATGTACATAGAATTACGAACATTATGGGCAATTGTGTAACGTACAAACTAGGTATGAGCCAAAATCTTCCGCCGAATGCGCGAGCATTTTCCAGAATGCGCGAGAATTCCGCGGAAGATGATTATGAACCTGTGAGGGAAATTCAACGCAGTTGATAAAACAAGAACACACGTAAAGCTTGTGCGATCGAACGTCTATAGGGAAATGAACTCCTAGCATTAACAATATATTTATTTGGAGTCAGGGTTACACTCGGAACGGAAGTAACATTTGCGTTAATGCAGTGGCTAACATAATGGTTTTTAACAAAGGCTTTATTTTTTGCGTCATCGAAGTTTTTCAGACTATTGTAGCAATAATATAATTCTCGACTTGATCTCCTTAAACAATATTTATTTCATAGGTAAGGAAATTACACATGAAATCGTCACATTGACTAAACTCTATTGGCCGTTCGTAAGGCAGATTCCCCTGAGAAGAATGAGCAAGAAATTCTAGGGGTTGCTCTTTGTAAAAATACAACAGTACACATTTATTGCATATATTTATAACATTTATTTCAGATCATAGATCAAGGACTTTAGCGTTGAAAACTGCCAGAAATGCTGGTTTTTAGAAAGAAACTATCGTGGTGGAATGAAAAGTTAGTTATAAAACCCAGAAGTATTCCTCGTTATCTAGCGCGAAAGATTTTTCGGTTCCGGTATCTCGTACCGTAGGTCTTTTTTTCTCCACTTCACTGTAGCATGAGAACTTTCAATGATGTGAACTCTGACGACATTTTTCACGACTCATATAGTGACAAGTGCTCTAGGCGGTCTTACTTTTGTTCGATAAAATCTTTTAGAGAGTAGTTTTACTGTTTTCAAAAAATCTTCCGCGGAATGCGCAAACATTTTCCAGCATGCGCGAGAATTCCGCGGAAGACGTTATGTACAATATCGTTACAAAAATTCACTTCTATTCCGTTCAGCCTCAATACAAATTGAGCCTAAATTAAATTTTGAGTTTACTCCGTAATTTGTCGCACAGAATTAGGCAAAATTCACTTTGTAAATACGAAAATTTTGCTTAGTTCGCCATTTTTGCTATAAATCTCAGCTTTAGTTCCTTTCGGTCACGGACATACACGAGTTTACGCTTTTGGCGGTAATAAATAAAAATACTCTTTGACAAGATATTTTAGTTGCATTGACAGCTTTGCTGGCACCGCACAACGAAACCAAACAAAAGTGAGAATGAGGATTGCGCTTTCACCTTCGAATATGGAACTGGTCAAGGCCTTCTACAGAGCGTGTTCAAGGTAAAAACAAAAGGTGGTTCGTGAAGTCTTATTGCTAGTGAATAATTACCATAGTTCGGCCGTTGATAACATAGTCCCCCATCTTCCCGTTGTTGGCCATCTTGTTCGCCTTCAGCACTATGTTGTCGACCTGCAACGGTAATGACATTTTAATCGCATTCTGTAATTACCGCTATTTGGAAAATCACAATCAACACAAGAAAGCCGCCAAGAATATCTTAATGACCTGTCTGGTCATCATATAGAACTGTTAATCTGTGGATTGGAGATTGTTGTTATTTGTAAAGTTAATTGCTTAATAATTGTGTCATACTGACCGGTAATGAGTGTTTCGTCTCGTATTTAGTATGCAAACATACTAGATATCATTCTCGTTAGCGCTCAACCGGACTTAGATTTCACAGTTATACTGCAGATATTCAGCCATATAATACGGATAGGCGTGGTAGCCTAATGATTTGACCTACCACCTCTGAAGCAAAGGCCGTAAGTTCGAATCCGGACACGCACCTATCGACTTTCTCGGAATTGATGTGCGAAATTTAATTTGAAATTTCCCATAAACTTTTCGGAGAAGGAAAACATCGTGATGAAACCTGCACATAGAAGAAGGTTCACAACCCTTGAAAAAAACGTGTGAAGTCCCCAACCCGCATTGCACAAGCGTGGCGGACTATGGCCTAAACGCTCGCCCGGGAGGAGATCCGTGGTAGTGGAACGTATAAAAGGGTTGATGATGATGAATGATGATCTGACCAAATTTAGCAGCAGTAGAGCTCCTCGTGAAAGAGTTCGTCCAGTGTAGTACTGCCACCTTATCTGTTTCTGTCGCCAAGCAGTAATGTCAGCATGAGGTCCGGTTTCAAAAAGTAGGTGAAATTACAGGCATATGGGACTTGTTAACTTACGTCTTAGGGTGACGGGCGCAGTGGCCCGTAGATCTTTGCGATTTAAAGCTCTGGAGTGTCACTGCAACTGTTATGGACAGGAGTGCTTACTATCAGGCGCACAACTTGTTCGTCCCGTCACTTGATATTATAAAAAAAAATCCCACAAAGCGTTTTGATTCTATGCGACCAAGCTTGAGTCTTTACCCGGTTATATATTATTATATAATACATATATTATATTAACAAATTGTAAAAGTTGCGTACTTGGAATGTCATATCTTCTATGCGACCGTATTCAATCTTCGTCTGCATCTTAACTTTCTATTAGGTGAGTTTTTAAATTCTTGCAGAGTAAAGCAGCTTATCTGAATTTTTCAAACGCATAAAACGTGTACAGCCAACACGCGTGCAAAACGTGGCGACTATGCATTTTGGTGAGGCAAATTTAAGCAAACAAGCGTAATTTTATGAATCATAATCTCAAAATATTTGTAAACGATGGGTTAACAAATCAAATAACATAAAATCCTTTTTGCAAAAAGAAAGACAGGGAGATTTGACTGTTTTGAAACATGTTACCGCATCTATCTGGCGCTTACAGAGTGAAAATTGGTGGTACATTTTTTGTCAATATGTTTCGTCTTTTCGATTTTGTATTAGAAATAGAAATAGAAACCATTTATTGTAACGCCACATTATAAAAAAAACACAAAAACAAAGACTTATATCTAGACCAGAAATAACAAAAAAAAAAAAACAGAGTAAAAAAACATTTCAACAACAAGTTACATAATACTATACTGACATGTGTGCGGCTGTGGCGTGTACAAAAGGATCCCATTCAGCTAAAGCACAACCAAGGCTAGGTTGTGACGCTGGTTTTCAATGGGCCCTAGCCGAGTGAGTGAGAGTGACGGACGAATGCGTCCCGAAACAGAAAATATTAAGTTTTTGAATGCACTCTACTTAGTATTTTTACTTTAATCTTAAGAGATATATTCTCATAATGCGTACTAGTTATTAAGAATATTGAACAAAGAACAGTGACTATTGTAAAACTGGCTCCATTTCTCCGAACAGCTGTCGTCAATAGCGAAAGAATTATTAAACAAATTGTTTTGTACCGATTGCTGTTCAAACAAATTTGAGTCACTAAAAGTAGATAGTATGCTTCAGAATTGTTTTACAACCGCTTATCAAAGTTATTCCAAACGTAATACGATTAAATAAATTTAATTCCAAAGTATGTACTCAGACGAGCGCCATATGATAAATATTACAAGTGCTATATATCCTAACGTGTAACGCGTTAATTCGCTAAAATATAATCTTATCGCATTCTTTTAGTTCTAGAGAACTGACCTTTTGGCAACATTTTTTAGTCGCTTAAATCATGATTATAATCTGTCTGAATGAATTTGAAACAGTAGCATTGGACAGAAATCTTAATAACGTATTTTTGATTTAACTTAAGTCAAAAAAGTTTTTTTTTTATGAAACCAAGCGACGACGGGACGAAATGAGGAGTCACCGAAATAGCTCGAAGCATTAGCAAGTTGAAGTGGCAGTGGGCCGGGCACATAGCTCGTGGAGCTGACGGCCGTTGGGGCAGAAAGGTTCTCGAATGGAGACCACGAACCGGAAGGCGTTCAGTGGGACGTCCATCTAGGATGGATGACCTGGTAAGGGCGGAGGGTAACCGATGGGTGCACGTCGCATCCGGTCGGCTGGTCTGGAAATCTTTGGGGGAGGCCTATGTTCAGTAGTGGACATCTTCCGGCTGATATGATGAGGATGAAGCGACGAGACGAACAAGTCGTGTGACTGGTGATATACGGATAAACGACACGCCTGTCTATAACAGCTACCGTGCCACTCAGAGCTTTAAATAGCAAAGATTTGAGGGGCACTGCAACTGCATTCTGACACATAAGTCGACAAGTCCCATTTAAACTGCCTCCGTGGCCGAACGGTTACCATGCCGGACTGCCACGCAGAGGTCCCAGGTTCGATTCCCGGGCCGGGAGAAATATTTGTATGGCCTACATTTATTTCTCTCGTGAGTTTGGGTGTTTGTCTACGTGTGTGTCCATGGCACCCGCGACACAGGGTTTCCCTAGTGCGGGGCTATGTTGAATGTGAGTGTGAGCGTTATTATTTGCCTGTAATTTCACAAGCACTCCAAACCGGAACGCAGTAATGGTTACATTACTGCTTGGCGGCAGAAATAGATAAGATGGCAGTATTTCACTGGACGAACTCTATCTCAAGGAGCTCTACCGCTACTAAACTTAAGTTATTATAGTGGTTCTTGTCGGTTACTGGCACCACCACCTTCTTTCTTTTTTTGGAAAATTTTAAGTTAATGATATAATTTTAGCGTTAACCTACATCTGTACTTTCGGCACGAAAGTACAGATGTAGCTTATCCCATAAAAGCAGCTCCAACTGAAAACCATCGCTACAGCAACCGAGCTGTGACACATGCTGACTTGGATTCGTTTTAGCTTATAATTTTAATCACTAATTTCTTCTGTACAAGTCTTAATAATTATTACATAGATTAGATAATACGCTTTATTGCTCACACACTAAACAAAAGCAGTGATACAACTTTTTATTTAAATTATTAATACAGGGATGGAGCATTAAGAAAAAATGTCTTCGATCTGGCTGGATGCGAACCAACGTTTTCCAGCAACCCGTGCCAGACGCTATCCCAACTAAGTCACGGAACGAACTAACTGACCTTTACAAATTTTTCCTGTTCTTGTTCACACGCTTGTTGTGGTTTTACTTTATTATTGTCCACAGCTGTAACACTTTGTTTTAATCGAGTACTCTTCTCATGAACCGAGTTATTCGGCCGAGTACGAGTAGTAAAAAAACGGACGAGTACACCGAGAACCGAGTAGTAAACGAGTACTCGGCTCATCTCTAATAATTAATGACCTTCGACGTCTGATTAGTTCTACAAATTCCTCAAAATGACGACGGTCTAAGCCCAAGTTGGCCAACTAACTCTATCACGTCATAATTGGAATAAAATTAGGTAAAGTAAACTAATTGTACATATCCTGAACTAACATTCTTGTCATATAAACGGAAGGACAAAAAATTACAGCCGCAAGCAATATAAATCGTATATAGTATAAATAGTAAAGATAAATACATTCTAAATTAATAGCATATGCGGTAAATTGCACGTACACATTAATATAAAACACATTATTATAGATGCAGAGGAAGAATAATGTAATAAGACACACTGCCTGATAGAACGCACGTAGGCGTACAACTGCCCTTCAGGAAAACTTCCAAAGCATATAGCAAACCAGTAGGTTAATTCCATTGCACTTACTACTGCTCTGTTGCTTGTATTGTTGTTGTTACTGCTTGGCGGCAGAAATAGGTAAGGTGACAGTACTTCTCTGGACGACCTCTACTAAAAATGACAGTAATAATGTCACAGATGTTATATTTGTAGTATGTTAGTAATGTTAGTAGCAGTAGAGCCCTCGTGAAAGCGTTCGTCCAGGGAAGTACTGCCACCTTACCTGTTTCTGGCGCCAAGCAGTAATGTTAGCATTACTGTGTTCCGGTTTTGAAGGGTAAGGGTGTTGGTGAAATTACAGGCACATGGGACTTAACTCTTCAACTTTAACTTAGATCTTTCCGATTTAAAGCTCTGAGTGGCATTGCAACTGTTATGGACAAGCGTGTAGCTTACCATCAGACACACAACTTTTCCGTCCAGTCACTTGATATTATAATAAAAAAAAAACAACCACAATACACCGGTCTCAAACTAGGTAACTATGAGAATCAGAGCAATGGATTTTACTCCAGAGTAATGACTGGAACAGTTAGAGAACCAATTCAGAAAACTTAATTTCCCAAATTGGTCCTACCGGGAATCGCACCCGGGATTTCCTCATACAGACATGTGGAACCCGCAAAACCATTGAGGCCGTGAAAATGATATTTTTAGTATAAATTCGACGTCTATGTCTATATAGACAATTGTAATAAGTGGGCAACATAATCGCCTCAATCGTCAAAAAAGCTGACTGAAGAATACATGAGCATTTGGGAATATGTAAAGTATCAAAGGTCTGAAAATGGATGTAGTACAATAAGCCTTAATTATACTAAATTGCTAGAACTGTATGAATTATTTTTATTGAGATCATTTTAAAGGACAGTGTGGTTAAATTTTCAACAAAGAAAACGACAATGCCAGTTTCTGCTCCATGCCTAACATCTGGCATTATTCAAAACTTCTAATTTCAAATAAAAGCACTTTCAGCTTCTTCGAATTTGTGTAGCAACTGTAAGGATCGTGTTAATTTTTTTAACTCTTTATTTATTTAGTGGCTGTGACCATTGTTGAAGATGTCAGTCCCATTAGAAAAACAATACATAAAAAAACAATAAAAATATAAATAATAATAATAAATATATATCTGTTTATATCAAAATACTACCAAACCAAACGTATATACAAAATCTACGCAGCACTAATTTCATTGGATGGTGTTCATGTAAGGAATATTGATAAAGAATTTACAGAAGTTGGAAGGTAAAAGTAATTCTATCAACAAAGTCTGAAAGACTGTCTTTGAAAGTAAGGTAACTCACATAACTGATCAACTGTCTGATGTGGAAACAATGCGACTCCTTGCCGTCGATCCACGCGATGAGGTCGCTACGGATCGTCTGCGCCTCTGTGCTCGTTGGATTCGACACCAGCTGCCCTTTCTGTGATCGAGATGTTGATTTATGAGTGGTCATAATAGCAGTATGTGTTGCACTTTAGTGCAAAAGTTGATGTCGCTGAAATACCCAAAATAGTGCTCAATATAAAAATTTTATTACACTAATATTTGTACAAATCATAGATGCTTTACTTCTATGTGCTGTAAGTACCAAAGAGAGATTTTATCAATGACCAAAGTTAATGTAGAATCATAACATATTCCTGTTAACTTGGCTACCAACTAAAAAGGACCTAGAAATCATATGTACAGGTCATATTTGCCATTATTAATATTCATTATACATTTGATGTATATAAACATTTTGAGATATGGAACTACACCATGTCACCTTAAAGCAGCTTTGATACTAATGTCAACCGAAAGTATCCACACTCATTGCAAATATCTTCAAGAATATCAATGATTTTTAAAGCAATACAATTCAATAGTGAGCTGGTACTATACTCAGAAGAACCCATGTTTATATTGTGTTAACTGCTGGAGTGCTAAACCCATTGAGTATATAACCAGAAATAGAGACGAAATAAGGGCCATATATTCCTAGAAACACATTAGCGATACAGCTCTTATAAATACTCTCTTTTGCACTGAAATATAGACAGACCAACTACTGACCTGTGTGTACGTGTCCATATATTCCAAAAAATATTCTGTATTTATTGAAATAAAAATAATATCTCTAACAATGCAGTGCTGTTCTATTCGGTGGTGTGGGAAACAGCAAAACATCTAATTACAAAACAAACGGAATCACATTTCACAGGTAATTAAATATTAAATATGTAATTTTGCAATTTTCATCCATTATAGCAAAGCTCAAGTTAACTGGTCGATTTGAAGTGAAACAGTTGACGACACTTGTCAATTGTTTCGAACTCGGGCTAGCCAATCGGAGCACAGTTGTCACAGTAATGATACGGCAGAATAGTTTTCAAACAAATTCAATGATATTTCATCTCTATTTCTGGTTATATACTCGATGTCTAAACCCAACTAGTACTAGTTACTGTTCAATAAATCCCGACAGGAGTCCTTGTGATAATAAAACAAGTAATCTCAAGCTTTTAAACAATAAGACACCAATTTACAATTTTTGATAGAACTGTTACAGTGACCTACTTCCCCAATAAATATTATGTTGAATTTACAAATTAGATTACAAAGTAAATAAGTGTATAGGCGTACATGAATACTTTCTATATAATATACTCCACTAAGCAAATATCAAAAATGCATGTACACATAGAAAGTCCTTGACACACACTGCGATGATGCAAAAAAATCATGACTCGACCATTTTCAATCACAGGGCATTGGCCAACAAAACTAAAAATACAGATCACTATACTAAATACATAAATTATAGTTGAGAATTGTTTACACAATTTTACTGATCTACCGAAATATTCAATTGGTTTGTGTTGAACTTGTGTTATAGGAATGGTGAAACAGAGATGATTATAAGTGACCCCATTATAAAGTCTCAAAGTAACTAACTACAGATTTTTAACTACATAAACAGAAACAGAAGAAGCCAGTCATGGGCATGGGAACTGTAAAGAACCCGAAACATTGGTTTGTTAAAAAAATACTTTTTAAATCCAGATAACAATTGGTTTGGACTGAAAAAAAGGGGGTACTACGGAAACGGGACAGAAAATTTTTATAATTTTCAAAAAATATATTATTATTTGTTTTTAATGCTTTTTTCTAGTAGAATAGACCTAAATAAACATTTTTTTAATAAGAATCAAGTGTTTATTTAGGTCTAATCTAGGAAACAAGCATCAAAATCAATATTCAATAACATTTTTAAAAAGGGTCAACATTTTTCTCTAGTTTCCATAATGCCCCCTTCACTTTAGTCAGTTATTAAGCAAAAATTGCTTCATTTTCAATACATAAAGTGAAATCAAATCTTTGCACTTCTACAACAAGGTGAAGTAATGCCACATGTTAAATTTCATAAATTGCAACTTTTGTAAATTGCAAATTTGCAAACTACACAATGGTCATATGGTAAAACTGTCAACAACGAATTGTGATGAATAGTGGACTATCATAGATACATGAAGATTTTCATTCATGTAAATCTTCATATATTGCCCACTATTTATCCTCTAACCAGTCAATGTTTACAAGAAATAAGTGTCAATAATTTACTGCATTTGCACTAATATCACGCACTAATAAAAATTATAATAAAAAGTATCTATTACAAAGATAGTAAGTTGTAAAAGCATTTTATCAAGTTACAATTCAGTACATGTAATATAAACATAAGTGCATGCTGCAGTAACAATCAAACAAAATATCTAGTTTACAAACATTCACAGTGAAATGCACTATTACACATACCACATACCAAGAGGTGGGTGTTCAAATGAAAAGCACTTAAAAAGTATGCTTTTTAAAATAAGCACTTACGCACACTTTATTTTAAGCATAAGTTTTGGTCAGGTCTATACTCAATAATTTCATTTTTTACAACGTGCTTAAGTCAAGTTCATGTCCCACCATTATGTTTCCTAAACAAATTACCTAACTCGTCAATGTAAATAATATTTTTTTTAATAAAATCAACTTGTGTGTTACAAATAAACTTACTTAAATCCTTTAGTGGTCTACTCTTGCTTTTCGTTATCAACACAACATTGCAAGCTTTATTTTAACATAAAACTCTATGCGCTTAAACATTTATCTAAGTGATTTTTTAAGCTTTAAACTAAAAAGCATGCTTTTTAAAAAACCTACAACATTTAAACATTTAAAAAAATAAGCAGTTTTTCCCATCTCTACACGTACCAAATAAAAACTAAATGATTATGGCAGATTAAAAACTTACTTGAAAAATCCCCGATTTGTACATTGCCAGTACTTCATTCAACACCAATTGTCCCCGTTCTTTACCAAGGAAATTGTCTAAAACACAAACACCATACTGTGTCATGTCCCTGATTACACGTTGGCAGATCTCGAAGCATGGATCACTAGGGTCCATGTGGTAGCTGTTCTGTGTGTTGCTAAAAGGAGCGCCACTGCCCCGCAATGTCGCTTCTGGATACTCTTTTCTACTATCCCCAGTATGCTGAGTATACCCAGCCAAAGAAGGCACCCTCATATCAGTCCTGTTTATAGCCCTCAACACATTCGATGAACTAGCCATTACAAAGTCCGCACTCAGCTGCTGAGCTGACTCCCTAAGAATCTCCTGCTCTGAAGACCCCTCGTAAGTTATGGCACTGCCAGAGCTCAAATTTTTGTCTGTATACACTACACTAGATATTACACTATTGTCCTGAGCCTCGCAAGCTTCTTTTGCTTCGCTACTCAGTTCAACTTGCTCTATAACTTCAGAGTGTTTATTGTCACTAATTGTATCAATACCTTCTTTTAGCAAACTTTTTTTCTTTGACTTTCTTGAACGTCTTGTTTCGTTATCCTCCTGGTTTATCAGGTTTATACTTTTACTATCCTCGTTACATTTAATAATTTCTTCTTTCACTTTCTTCGGGTCTTCGAAGCTTTTATTACACTCTTGGATTTTATCTTTTTTCGTACCCTGTTTTGGTACCTTTGGAGTGCACTCAGTTTTATGCCTTTTCCAGTCTTGCCGTTGATGTTCCGTATTGCAGTAGTAAACACTAAGACATCTAGAACACCTTCTATGCGTTTGAAGATTACAAACGGCGCAACAAGCGCGTACGCCCCCTTGATTCATTCTGAAAATAATTTCTCCTCACTTCACTTTTTATTTTTATGGCTCCATCAATATGAGAACTGATGATTTTGCCAAAGTCACAGTTGAAAGAAAAAAAACGAAACAAAAAAAAAAATTTTCGCTAAGCTCTAATAGGACATTAACCGGTGTTGGTAAGTTGGACTACGGGAGTACTCAGTTGAGAATGTAAAACAAAACAGCAAAACAATATTTATAAATATATAGTGTTCTCCCCCCATATTGTTACTCTATGTAAATTTATCCACTTAATTTCTCCTCACGGGCCGGTCGTCTGTGACTTGTCAAATTTTTTTTTTAAATTATTGCTGGCCATGGAAACAAAATCCTTCAGCCGAAAACATAAACGTTTCATTATATTTCTGTAAATATGGCCACCACAAAGAGGATAGGCAATTTGAGGCGGCGTGCTTGGATTGACTCGGGATTCCTTAGAACGGGCCGATACGGGTATTTTAGTTCGAGATTCGTATAATTTCGCGTTTTAATCTTCGATTAAGGCACAATAGCACTATCCTATTCCACTTTAAACTAGATTTCACTTCACTTCACTTTTTATTTTTATGGCTCCATCAATATGAGAACTGATGATTTTGCCAATGTCACAGTTGAAAGAAAAAAAACGAAACAAAAGAAAATTTTCGCTAAGCTCTAATAGGACATTAACCGGTGTTGGTAAGTTGGACTACGGGAGTACTCAGTTGAGAATGTAAAACAAAACAGCAAAACAATATTCATAAATATATGTTATTTAAGTGGATAAATTTACATAGAGTAACAATATGGGGGGAGAACACTATAGATTTCACAAAATAATTGAAAGTCAAAATAAAAACGACACTTTTCCCTCCAAAAGGCCCAGAGCGAATCCCGGGACTTGTCAATGAATTGCAGTGTTACCAAGCCAAATAAAAATAATTCGGCAAAAATATGGTTGAAAATTTTAAAATATCGGAACAAATCAAAAGATTTCGCGAGTTGTGTAAATAAAAAGAAAAATTGGGCGAATATTTTTTTTTTTGTTGAATTTAATTACTTTATAATGGTTTTTATTCGTCAAGTTAAGAAATAATAAAATACAATATTTTAATATTGTATTTTATTATTATTGTATTTATTTATAAGTTGAAAAGCTTAGTAAAAATTGTATCTAGGGCGGTACCCTAGTTCTTCATGCCCAATAATTATTTTTATTTAACTCATTTGAAACATATTATTGGACGTATTGGATCTATAATCGGTGGTTGGATCTATATGCGTTAGCATCTAATAGTCTGTGGATCTAAAATAAGCACGTTTCGATTCAGCACAAAGCGAGTTTGTGTGAGTGAGATAGATATATTTTTTTATGGCTTTGTGAAGGACATTTAGCCAATGTCAAATTTAGGGAAGATATTATATTTTACTGAATAGATAAGCTAGAAATAGGAAATGAAACTATTTTTCTGGGTTTAAATCGCGTATATTTGTTTTTTCAAACAAACCGACGTTTCGGACCTTTTGTAGGTCCCATGGTCACGGTAAACTACAAATTTTCTAAGATGGTCCCTTTAATTTTTTCCATCCTTTAAGCCTGTGACACTTCATTTGATTTTTTTATTTTTATTTTTTACTAAGGCTTTGGCAAAGCCATCATCCTAAACATGAAGTTTAATTATGTTTCTGTAAATAGGGCCGTCACAAAGAGGATGGCAATTTGAGGCGGCGTGCTTGGATTGACTCGTGATTCCTTAAAACGGGCCGATACGGGTATTCTAATTCGAGATTTGTAAAATTTCGTGTTTTAATCTTCGATTAAGGCACAATGGCACTATCCTATTCCACTTTAAACTAGATTTCACAAAATAATTGCAAATCAAAACAAAAACGAAACTTTTCCCTCCAAAAGGTCGATAAAATCAAAAAATTAATCGATCTTCTGTTTTCTTATACTTTACTATAATTTTTCATAATAGTGTCCTTGTACAGAAATGCATACAAATGACAACGTCGTAGAAAGTTCCTATGTAAAGTTTGAAATATTGACGGCTCTCTCAAATAGCGCGAACTTTTAAGATAGTACTGTATTATAGAACTGCTTTTCTACTGGAAATGGAAAGTTTAATTGGTACGCAATGATTTGAAGTGGTAAGATAATCATTCAACGCACACGTGTTCTACTTGAATCAGTATGATTGATAATTAATCATGACATGTGATTAAGGTAACAAACACTTAATGAATCCTAAGCCACACAATAACGTTTATACCTCATAAAGTACGGAAATTAAAGCCTCCCTAGGAATGTCATATTAAATGTGGGAGCGTCTAACATTAAAATTTCGGATATTTCTAGTTTAATTTTTAAAAAGTTCACGTTCAAGTTCAGTTCAGTTGATGTCGATTCACTCATTCGGTACTTAACGTACTTGCGATATCAGTTTAAAGCTTTTTAATGTCTCTTATATTTACGGAATGATCACGTAGGTACATTTAACGATAACACCCTGTATAAATAAATACTCGGGTAACTTACAAAAATTACTTTATTTTTAAAAGTAAATTACAAATTCATTCTTTATTATCTTTTCAATAGAATAAGTGGAAATTCGAAATAGGTAGAGATTTCTAGCATTCATTGGAAACATTTTTCTTTTTACATTATATTAAGAGACAATTGGTCAGATAGTTTCATGTACTTTTACAAAATGAAGATGAATATTTAATATTCTAAGTTTATTTACATTAACAGAATAATTTCTGAGATTTTGTGATGAAGAGAATTATAATAATATACATATAATAAGTAGTTTAATATATATAAGAATGAGAATCAGACTAGATTAGTTCTACGTCGAGTCATGTTCTTATTTTAAAATGTAAATATTGATTTATAAAGTTATATTGTGTTGGATACAAATGTCGAGTTTCTTGTGCTTATTTTAAAAACCAAGCCAAAATACGTATTACAAAAAAAATATTGCTATTTTTGAACTTACTATTAAAAAAAGCAAAAGCATTTTAGAATAAATAATTTTAGGTTTAGGAAAACCGACAAGATCGCTAACATAAAGATACGAATTTAAAAAAACTAGATAATATTCAAGTACAATGTTGAATATTACAAAGATCTAGACTCAACGAGAGGAACTAAAAGGTGCGTAAAGGCGTGCGTCGGGTCAGCCGACGTACGCCACTGCGCAATCTTATTTATAATTAAAATAAAACTTAACAAGATAAAAATTCGTTCAACGACAAGTAAAAATCTGCTACAGCTATGCTACTCATCATTATGAATCAAGCAACATTCATTTGAGGCTATCAGTGTAATAGTGGTGTAACCCACATAAAATTTCTTTTCTATAATATTAAGTAGGTATTTTAAAGGATAAATACTAAAGTAGGTACATAATTATCTTATATTTGGGTGCTATTTTGATGTGTAAAAATGTTTAATTATTTTATTTTCTGTAAACATGAAAATAGCATTCAAATTTCAATTAGCCTCATTATAGAAAACGATTGTATGTAACGAGTTCTTAGGTTTTCGCGATTGTTACACATAGGAAATGAAACTATTTTTCCGGATTTAAATCGCGTATATTTGTTTTTGAAACAAATCGACGTTTGTGTGGTCACGGTTGGCTGAGGTGGCACAGTCATAACGTCGAATTGTTTGATAAAACAAATATACGCGATTTAATTCCGGAAATAGTTTGATTTTATGTAACTTAAGAGTGGTTGTACACGACGACTTTTCTTGCCTATCGCCTGTAGATCGCAAGTGCAGCGATCCAATCGCGCGTTTGTATCGATGCAGTCGCGTGTTTGAATCGCTGCTTACAGTCGCGCGTGTGTAACAGCTCTGATTCCATTCTTTTAGTTCCATTTTCAATTCTTAATTTTTTTAAATTTGTTCCTATTTTAATTCTTGGTATTTGAATGAGTTATTTAAAAAAAATATAATGTTAGCATTACAAGTTGTGCGTTCGTGACTACACATACCTACAGGGTTATTTGTATTTTACTAATAACCTCCCAGGATTCTATTACTGACAACTTAGCACAACAACTTATGTTCCATGAGTTTTAATAATTCACATTTTACTTTCATACAATAACAATATTTAAATAGATCGGTCTAGACGGTAATAACTCTGTGCAAAACGCAGGAACGCGAGTGGGAGTCGTCAGGGAGGACGTTTGTACAATTTACGAGATAGAAATCTAAAAAGTATCAGATAGTACAACAATCACAATACATGTTAAGAAGGAAAATTTCCATATTATTAACCTTAGAACTAAGTCCAAACTCATGGTACCACGATTTCGTTTAAGTAAGGTAAACGATTCTTTTATAGGGAACTGTATACGTTTTTACAATAAGATTCCGGAGCATATATTAAGATTACTTTTTCCTAAGTTTAAAAATTACATTAAAAGTATTTTAATTGAAAAGTCATATTACAAAATTATACACTACGTGTTAGATAAAGTTGTACCTATGGAAAGACAACAGGAGTGACAATGTGACTCAAAATGTATTCTATACCTAGCATTTAAGTTTATTTGAAAAGAGCAATCCCTATAGTAAGTTTCTTGCTCGTTCTTCCCAGCGAAGTGAATGAGCAGTAGCTTAAAAAATGACGTTTTCGAGTGTAAAAATTTTACCTATGCAATATATGATTATTTGACTTTGACAAAAACTTATAACTTTATTTTAGGTAAACCTAATATTTATGTGGTCTGTGGGTAAACTTATGTTTTGTAAAAAGTCATAGAATAAAGGTATTGTATATGACAATAGTAACATACTGCCGCCGTTAGTTGAAAGGCTCATGTGACATATTTTTTTTAATTTTGTTCTTTATACTGCCATGATCAGTAAAAAAAGGCCGATCTGTCACTATTTTTATTTTTCATATATGAATAAGTTATGAAGTTACTGCAAGAAAAAAGTATCTTTCGATTTAATTTCTTTAAAAATTATTTTTCGGTTATTGAGTTTTTGTCGCCCTTTCAAGTAACGACGGCGGTACAGTTCTGCGAGGTTGTTGGCATTTTACAAATAACCCAGTACGTATAATATTATTTTAAAACTTCTGCTGTTCTTAAGTTCTTTCTACTTGCCATTGAATGAACGACGACAATTTAACGTTTTACAACATCGACGTTACTCAAAGCTCTAGTTAGCCTTTAGCCAATTATAATTGGACCCCTGTTATTACTTTTAATATCTGTACTAACTTAAAACGTCTTTGAGAAACAACGTTTGAGTAACGTAAATGGAGCGGAAACACTTATACTCTTGTGTGGTCGTCATCAGTCGTTTGTGGGGGGACAGGGGGAGGTGGAGCGTGTAATACTCTTGCTAGCTCTGCTTTTTCGTCTGCTGAGAGTACGTAGACTGGTGGTGCCGCTGGTAAGAAGCGCTCTGCTTTGTGTGGTTCTCTTTGAAGTCTTGCCCGATATAGCATGACCAGAACACACAGTACACTAATGATGAATGCTGAAGTAGCCGCTAAAACTATTAGCGCTGTGTGGTAAGATGTTGCTGCTGACACCTGTAAAGTAAAAATATTAAGGTTTATTATTCATAGAAAAATCGAACAAACACAAAGAAAAATTCCTTCGATGTGGATTCGAACTAGCGTCTGTTGCCGCACCGGGGCCACCGCTCTAACCCAGTTGGGGTTACAGACCGAGTCGGCAGATCTAACGAATTATTCTGTGTCTGTTGCAAATCTTTGTATTGGGTTTAAACGGCTTTTTACCGTAGCGCCACCTGTGGAAAACCCATGAAATTTCACACAGCCAAGCAAAGAGTTACATTATATTTATCGGGTATAGAGTTATTAGCTCATATCGCCCCTGATAACTGACGCGGAAACTATTTTTTTCCTGTACGTTACACATTTTTATAAGTTCATTCTTCCTGCTGTGTTACTAGATTAATGATTATTTAAACATGTTTTGAAGTAAATTGTTGCCTTTGCTAAATATATTTCAGGTTTTCAGGTTTTGAAAAATTTTTTACAAATTGTATGGCTAATAAAAAGATGCCTTGAGGTGCCAGCGCTCTCTATTGCTTAACGACGCCCGTCTTCATGGACATGCAAAGTAAAAATGTGTCGCAACAATTGCAATATTTCTAGAGTCCAGTTAGATCGAAGAAATTTGTCTTTGTGTTTGTTGAGCCTTTTTTAGTTTAGTATTTAGATTTCTTGGTATTGTATTATAATTATAAACTAGAAAGCATAGTTACAAATTTATTGGAAACCTACTGTAGATTCACTAAGTATTTCTCTTTGCTGCATGGAAGGTGTGGGAGCAGCTAGTCTGTATTCGCTTCTAATGAAATCGGCTCCGAGAACATTGTCATCCGATTTGTTACTTTCAGCCATTTTTTCCTGTTTTGCCTGCGGACAATTATAGAATAATATTTGAAACTACATTTTCGATTAATTAATAGCCGGATAAAAATAATAAGTAATATTTAAAATGAATTATCATTATCCATTTTGTTTAGTGCGTTAACATTACATTTATTTTTTACTTTTTTTATTGACAACCACTCCAAATGCCTGGTCTCAAACTAAGGAATTCCCTGTGTTATGAGCACCAGAGCAAAGGAATTCACTCTGCGGTACTTCCCAGAACATCCAGATCATAACTATTTTATATAACGAGTTTTCGCGATTGTTACAATGAAAATGAAACTATTTTTCCGGATTTAAATCGCGTATATTTGTTTTTTCAAACAAACCGATGTTTCGGGCCCTTTACAGGTCCCATGGTCACGGTTGACTATAGAAACGTCGGTTTGTTTGAAAAAATAAATATACGCGATTTAAATCCGGAAAAATAGTTTCATTTTCTATATTTTATATAACTTCATTTCCTAAATTTGGTCCTACCGGGAATAGAACCCTTGACCTCCTCGTCCTGTGCCCATAGTGCAAACCGTTAGGCCACCGAGGTCGTAATGGAACCCAATGTAGAGTTCACACATGACAAATCTCGTGACGTTCAATGTAGCAATTTATTTTAGGTACCATTTACAAATTTTAAAAGTCTACTTACAATGTTCTCTATATGATAGATGATGTCAACGGCCCTAGGCCCAGAAAGCGAAGCTCGAAGTTTTGCCGTATTCTTGTCTTTTGATATAGTAACAGGTACATGAACCCCGAGTGCTGCCAGCTGAACTTCTAATGCGGCTCGAGCGCGCTCAGCAACGGCGTTCTCCACTCCTAGCAATTCAAGTTCCAATAAAGCTGATTCAACTTGCGTTTGTTCTGAAATACAAATAAAAAATACATTTATGTAATTATATCCAATCCGTTTCTCATTGAAAATATCAGTGTTTCTTAGTTAGGGAGTTAGCTTTTATTTTTGAACGAAACACTAAAAGTCAAATTTATTACTTATTTGTAAAATTTATTATAGATAAATAAAAATAGTGTAAGTTATTAAGTAAATATTTGTGATTTTAATTTAATAATATATTTTTTAAACAATATACATTAATAAAAACATCAAAAGGTTACTTTTGGTAACATTTAGAATGTGCCAATGATTCTCTTTTCTTCATAATTCGCGCCACTTTTTGGCCATTGCCCAGAAAACGGTGCGAATATTGATTTTTTTAATTTAAAAAGAGACGAATGTTTGGCCACAATCTAACCGACGATGTGGCTGATGACATTAGCCCTTAGACTATGGAAACCAAATGACATGTTTTATCTATCCATCCCCTAACCATTAGCCTTTGTCTAATATAAATGCCTATTCACTCTAACCTTGAACAGCCATAGACTGCCGGTTTTGGAAACCACAGCTACCGATACAGTGTATTCCACAAATTAGAAAGATATGTGTACGTATTCCATCGAGTATATAACCAGAAATAGAGACGAAATAAGGGCCATATATTCCTCGTAACACATTAGCGATACAGCTCTTTTAATATCAACTCTCTTTTGCACTGAAATATAGACAGGCCAACTACTAATCTGTGTGTACGTCTCCGTATATTCCAAAAAATATTCAGTATTTATTGTAATAAAGATAATATCTCTAACAATGCCGTGCTGTTCTATTCGATGGTGTGAGATAAACAGCAAAACATTTAAGTACAAAACAAACGGAATCACATTTCATCGGTAATTAAATATGTAATTTTGCAATTGGCGTCCATTATAGCCTAGCCCAAGTTAACTGGTCGATTTGAAAAGAAACAGTTGACGACACCCATTGACGACACCCGTCAATTGTTTCGAGCTAGCCAGTTGTCACGGTAATGATATTAATATACAGAATTGTTTTCAAACAAATTAAATCACATTTCGTCTCTATTTCTGGTCATATACTCGATGAGGTATTCTATTACTTTGTCGTGTATCAGAAATAATTAAGCAAAACACTCGTGCCAAATGGGCAGTAAGTTAACGACAAAGATGAAATGTATCGGATTTTCTAGTAGTCCGAAGGAAGAAGAATGAGGGTAGAACTAAATTGTAAAATATAAATGTAAGCAAGCAACTTGATTAGTGTTTTGCTTTTGCTCCCCCGAGTCCAAGTTATCTACCTGGTTATATACTACAAGTTATATACACAGTCCTTCCAAAGGGGATAGATAGCAGTACTCCATACACAACCGAACTGGTGCTCGTTAAAGATTTGAGAGAATTAAGAGAAGTAGGTATCTAAGTGTTTATTACTAAATTAATATTTACCACAAGGATCCTGTCCGTTATCTGTGACGATGGAAGCATGAGGCCTCCTCTGGCCTGCTGCGTCTACGCACCAGCATCTTCCGCGAGAGCATTGTCTTGGTGAAAATGACCCATCGGCCATACATCGCGGCCGTAGACCTTCAGCTCCTGCAAAATTCATACAAAGTGGATATTTTCAATGTATTTTACAATACTGGGCTAATGATAGAGCTTCCACTTTATTCGATTATTTAGCGAAATTTTGAAATTAGTTTGATGGTTTATCTGGCGAATGATTACGATAAACCATCAACCCCAAGAATAAGAATCTGGCCTCTAGTTTATTATATCCAAATAGCCAATCTGCCTACGATACGAAAATACAAACTTGACAATGTTACAATCGTATTTTCACCATTTAAAATCATCTGACATCACGGACATCGGTAAAATTTAATTTAACATTTAATGATAAGTAGTATTTTGATTTTATTAATTGTTTTCTTGAGGTATAGGGGCTAACATGTTCATTAACGACCAAAGCCCCTGAATAAATAAAGTCGCTTAAAGAAAACGAATGAAATGTATGTATTTTCTCACCATTCTCAATTTCCTCCTGCATCAGTTGACATTTGGTCTTCAAAATTGTCTTCTCTTTAACTTCATTAACCACAATAACAGTGCCCTCCTTTACCGCAGTGGGTTTTGGATCGATTATTTCTCTGACCTCTAGTGAATTCTTGGTTTCTGTTGGCTGGTCTGATTGAATCTCTCTTTCTTCTAAAGCAATGTCAATTTCTTCACTCTCTCCGTCATCGTCAAAGCGGTATGCTGTCATTTGCCTGATTAGTTCTTCTAATACTGAAATAACAGACAAAAAGGCCTCATTTGTAACATAACTATATAATTAAATTGGTTGACATGTTCACGCTGGAATTCTAAAAGAAAACATATTCGTGACATAAAATATTTTTTTTTACGGTACCAAGGGACGGGACGAACAAGTCGTGCGACTGGTGGTAAGCGACACGCCTGTCCATAACAATTTCAGTGCCGCTCTGAGCTTGAAATAAAAGATCTGAGGGGCACTGCCACTACACCCGTCACGCTGAGACATAGGTTTAATAAATCCCATGTGTCTGTAATTTCCCCAGCATCCTTCAAAATCCGCAGTAATGTGAGCATTACTGCTTGGCGGCAGAAATAGGTAAGGTGGCAGTACTTTTCTGGACGAACTCTTTCACAAGAAGCTCTACTGCTACTACACCATTTTTATCTACACTAAATGACCCTGAATCATGACAATGAAAACCATTAAACTATCTTTATTTTTTATACTTGGGTATATAATATATATTATAACAGGTTTTTACGACTTTCTCAATTTCATGATATTAGATTTTGTTGCCGACTGAAGAGCCAACTTCCTTTCAATTATTCAAAGGTTTATGGAATAAACTCGCCTTTCTACACTAACGTTTTTATTTTATTATATGGACAATAAAGTGTATACATACACGCCTTTAATTCCAATAAATACATTGAAATTTTTCGACAATGTTGTAAAAGAGTCATTATTAAGCGACTTACCTTCATCAGCACGAGCTCTTTCATCAAGCGGATCGCGTTGGACCCACTTACGTGCTTGTCTAAAATTGCATGTCGGCTTAGCTCCTCGCACCAAAGATCCTTTGAGGGGCTCTCCACGTGCGCTTACACACCAACATACATCTACGAAAATCACAAATAAGAGCGGTTACACACGGCGATTTTATGCAAATACGTTGCACCTTAAGCAATTATTAAGATGTATATACGTTGCACCTTAATAATTGCAAATGCACCTTAGTAATAATTATTATTAGATATACGTATTCCAGTTTAGTCTAAATTATTTTAATTCATGCTACTTTATTTCAACATATTCTAATTAATTTTCTTTGTTTTACTTTAGATTATATACGTGAATAGATACATAAATTGTTATTAATATTAAAAGTATCATAATGCAACGTGTAACGTAATATTATTGTCGAAATTCATTTAATGGAATCGTAATAGGGTCGCCACAGGCGGGCTTTGCCTAGTGTGGGACTGGCATGACATCGCTTATGCAATGCATATAAATGTTAAAACATAATGTCGACTTAGCATAAGCCTATTTTTTATTTTTAGAAATCTTATCATTGCTCTCTGTACTTGTGATGTCAAATAAATATAGTATATTATAATTATTTAATAAATAAATAAATACAATTCATTTAATTTTTTTGCGATTTCTTACCAATATGAGACATGCACTGTACTGGCTCCCAGGTTCCAGTAGCATCGCATTTCGGGATGAAAGTGCCCTTGCCGAATTTCTCGGATGCCGCTTCGTTCTTCTCGCGGAGTCTTTCACACGGGCTCAGCACTGTAAAAACCAATAACAGTACGTACATGTAGTACGACTCAGGTTGTGATTCACACGTATTGAAATCCCATTCAAGTGATTATCATGTTTTACACACCATGCTCCTTATTAGCAATTTATAATTTTGTAAAAATGGTGTACAGATGAGTTCCCTAGACTGTGAAGTGCTTTTATCAAAATGTACCGTGCAAGGTTCTTAAACACAATAGTAAATAATGTCGTTAATTCATATTTCCTTAAAATCCTGCAAAAACTGTATTCTTGTAAATCACAAAATTGTTTAAATACATATTAAGACAGTGCTAAATGATTGTGTATACATGCCACAAATATAGTATTAGATCCAAAATAAAAAACAATTTCAAATGATATTTAACGTGCCTTCATCTGGGGTCGTCAGCTCCTCTTTGATCAGTTTCGCTGTAGCATCTTTCACTGTCATAAAAATGTAAGTTACTTTGGTGGTTCTATACATAACAGAACTTAGTTCAGTGTAGATGTAATAGTTATTATGAATAGATTAGGACGTACCAGGACAAACAATATTGCATTCCTCCTTGGTCTTGAAGTTGTTATGATTGCCAGAACAGCCGTGGTAGCGGAATCTTTCACAACGATTTTTCTCATGATTGAAATGCCAACGGGTTGTATTGATGCCATCACCACCGACACATAGCCCCTCGTCTTTGTTTTCGAAGCAAACTTCACCTGCACCAAAAATAAACCTTTATATTAAAACAATAGTTATCGAAGATAAACATTTCCAAATCGAGAAGTGAGAATAATGTCAGTACAAAAAAAAACCGATGAAAAAAACCGACTTCAAAAGTTCGTGGAATTACATCTATTTGCCAAGTTTTACTGAAATCGATTTTCCGGTAACCGAAACCGGATTCATCACCTAGTTTGCAACCCTTAGAGGTGTAATATTTTCTTCAAATTTAAATAGGAACAATATTGAGGTACCCTCATTCCAACAAAAAAGAGACTAAAATTGAACTACAACATACGCTACTCCGACTATATGTTACATCGACATTATTTTATTCAGACATTGCGCTATTCCGACAATATGTTACTTCAACATTACTTTACTCTGACACTACGCTATTCCGACAATATATTACATCGACATAATTTTACTCAGACACTACGCTATTTCGACAACATAGACGAGATGTTTCTTAAAAAAATCTTTATACTCAGATAAGAAAAATCATGATTACATATTAGTTAGATTATAGTTTCCTTGTATCTTCTATGGTTTCGATTTCCCTATACTGTGCCATTTTAAAAAACATTCTGTATTTTAATAAAATAAATTTCCTGTTATATAATGCTGTCTTTTTTGTTGTATTGATCGATATAAGAAACCATTTCGTACGTGGGTTTGTAATGATGATTTTTCTTATCTGAGTACAAAGATTTTTTTAAGAAACATCTCGTCCGTGTTGTCGAAGTAGCGTAGTGTCCAAGTAAAATCATGTCGACGTAAAATATTGTCGGAGTAGAGTAGTGTCTGAGTAAAGCAATGTCGAAGTAACATATTGTCGGAGTAGCGTGTGTCGAAGTTTAAAAATTTGAACTAGAGTCCAAAAAAGAATCATGAAAGTCGGTTCACAAACCGGAGTTATCGCGTAACATACATATAAAAAAAATACAGTTGGATTGAGAACCTTCTTTTCGTCGTCGGTTAATGAAACAAAAATTACAATTCCTGAAGTACTTACGAGGCTTGGGACAACAGACAGCAGGCGCAGAGTCGTGTGGAGCAAATCGGCATGCGTGCGTGTAAGGGCAGGCAGCGGCATTAGGACCACATGGTAGAGGGCCTGAACTATCAGGTGCTTGGAGAGGAGCGACACCTCCTGGGCACTGAGGAGTCGGAGCACATCGAGCTAGAGGTGGACAGGATTCTCCCTGTGAATTATTATGACACTTCTTTATTCTATGGACCGTGTATCAAGAACTCATAAAGTAACTTGGCACAATGCATTTAAAAGTAATTAAATTAATAATAAAATTAATTCTGTTTTGAAATAGTATAGATTTAAGTAGCAGTAGAGCTTAGTGTGAAAGTGTTCGTCCAGGGAAGTACTGCCACCTTACCTATTTCCACCACCAAGCAGTAATGTGAGCATTACTGCATTCCGATATAGAAATCTAAGGGTACTGGCGATATTACAGGCACATTGGACATTTATTTATTTATTTATTTATTCAATTATAAATGGTGTAACCTGACAGTATTCATTGACCATAGCGTTACGCCAATTTAATTTTAACAAAATAAAAATACAGATAAAACAAAAGAAAAATTAACAAAAATTAAAATTAAAAACAAGTAAAAATCTTAAACAAAACATATTACTAATCTAAACTTAAATTAAATAACTAACTAATAAACTAAAAACCATCCTGTCTTCTCTCTAGCACTCTTTTCCATTCATTCAACAGTCTCGCTATCCCTGTCACAAATAGATCATATTGCGGCGTTGCTGCGAGTACGGAGTTGAGGAGAGAAGCCGCTCGGGGAAGGGGAGAGTGTCGGTATTGTTCAGTGCGTGTAGGCACAGTTGCTAACAAGGGCACACCTCGTCGCCTGGTACAGTAGTCTCTAGGTACATTGAATTTAAGGGTCATTTCCACAAGGTACATACTGTTTATATTATTCCTTATAACATTTAATACGAAGGTGAGTAAGGACAAATTTCTGCGTAACTCCAACGACTCGAAACCTAGGTGACCCTGTAGGAACCGTGTTGGATACATAAATGGGTAGTAAATGTGATTCTTTTTATATAGGTATCTTAAAAACTTTTTTGTACTTGTTCCAACATAAGAATATGTTTCTTCCCTTGAGGAGACCAGACCACTGCACTCGCCTCGAGGACGCTGCGAACCAGTGCCGGACATGTCAATTTATGTCTCAGGGTGTCGGGCGCAGTGGCAGTGCCCCTCATATCTTTGTGGTTACAAACTCTGAGTGGTACTGCAACTGTTATGGACAGGCGTGTCGCTTGCCATCTGGCGCACGACTGGTTCGTCCCGTCACTTAGTTTTAATAAAAAAAAAGCTATAAAAAGTACAAGACAGTAAACATACATCACATTCCACTGAAACAAGTTCGCAGGTTTCGTCATTACGACATTTGGCGTCCTCACATGGATCCCTGCAATGGCAGGTTGGACAACCGTTGTTGTTGAGTTGTCGTCCGTAGGGGCACGTCTTCTCACATTTCGGTTCAGGACATACGATAGGCGAATCGCAGGGCGGTGTCGAGTTTGTTACTCTTGTGCCAGGAATCTAAAATATATCAAAGATTTGAGATTTTTTGTGAATTAACTAGTTTTGTTATGAATACAAAGATCGCATACACAGAAAAAATTTCCTCGACACGGCGACCCGATGGGACTTGAATCCACGTCCATGCTGCACCGTAGAAGTGGTTAGAGCAATAGATACCGAGTTGTCGAAATTCTCTTATGTGTTTTTATTATAGATCTTTGTGCTGTTTTCGGCATTCGTCTTCGCTACTGACATCTAGTGAGAGATCTTTGAATAGCCATCTCACCGCGCAGCTTTATAGGTATCACAACTGACGCAGATGTCACTTTTCAATCAAATGTATCTATTGAGATTTTTTGTGAATTAACTCCACTAATTTTGTTATGATTATGAATGCAAAGATGGAAGACACAGAATAATTGTTAAGCAAAAAGGATCCAATCCACAAAATCAAAAAGTAAGTTATATGCACGAAACGATTCCTAAAGTCTAACCTCTTAGATCAGCAAAAAAAAATCCAACATATACACAGAAATATATATCTCTGAAGTTACATGACATTATAAGTTTTGAAAATAGAACAACAGTGAGAAACACTTTTAAACTTCAAACTGCCATGTCTCGAAAGTGACTGGATATGCATTGGATCCATACGTCCAATTAAAAATCCAAGAAACAAACTACTTTTCACAGGTAAAGTAAATTTATTAACCACGAAGAACATATTGCTGCTTTTCAAGAAAAGTAACTCAATCTAAAATATCGGAAATGAAACTATTATTCCGGATTTAAATCTAGTACATTTGATTTTTTTAAACTATTGAGTCAACCGTGACCGTGGAACCTGTAAAGGGCCCGAAACGTTGGTTAATTGAAAAAAAAAACAAATGTACGCGATTTAAATCCGGAATAATAGTTTCATTTCCTATGTGTAACAATCGCGAAAACCGAAGAACTCGATACATTCTTAAATAGTTATTATTGTGACTTATGACTAAAATTTATTAAGAAAATATTTGGTGTGAATGGGACACCAAGCTTTTTATTTGTTAAAATACTCGTAATCGCGTGACAACATTAGGATTTTATTATATTATTATATATTAGGAAAAAAAGTGACAAATGTAATGATTTCAAATGCACTTGCATCATTGCTTACCTGCGAAATAAAGATATTTTTTTTTAAATATCTGGCACGGTATGCTAGAAGACGTCGGTTCGAATCCGGCCGGATCGAAGGTATTTTTTCTGAGTGGTCGATCTTTGTATTAATAATTATAACAAACTAGTGGAGTAATTTCATATAAAAATAATTGAATATCAATTCAATACAATGAATAGCGACATCTATAGTCGAGACTGGTAGCTGTAAAGGTATCTAACTGGGTTACGAAATACTTTCACAGATTTCTCATAGATAATAATAATAATCATTTATTTCCATTTCCAATCACAATGGTATTGATCTTATAAAAGATACATACAGAAGTTGAAATGACAACGTGTTTGACAATTGTGAGAGAGCGGAATCTGTACTAGGATACCCTGTGTTTCAGTATTCCGACCACTTTCCACCACACCGACCACAATTCCACTCTCAGACTCGATCGATGGCGCTACGGCTAAAAAGTCAATGAAAATCCAAATACAAAGATACGACGCAAGGACTTAGAAAAATTCGTGAGGTCCGCTGGTTCCTTCCGTGGCTTAGTTGGCATAGCGTCTGCCACGGTATGTTAGAAGACGTCGGTTCGAATCCGGCCGGATCGAAAAATTTTTTCAGAATGTACGATCTTTGTATTAATCATTTTAACAAACTAGTGGAGTAACTTCACATAAAAATAATTAAATATCAATTCAATAAAAATTTCAAAGATAATTTTCATTTTGATCTAACTTCGTCGAATGTACCTAGCTACTTATATTCGAACCGATAAAACAGAAGATCTTCTAATAATTGCAAAAATATCTGTCTATGCTATGCACAAAGTCATGGGCATAGCATATTTATTCATAATGAAGTCTATAATGTATGAAAAACTAACCTCGTTGCCAGCAATATCGACACACCAACATGATTGGTCAGTTCTTCGGCACTGTATACGTTCATATGAACCATCATCCCTGCATTGCGGTATGTAAGACCACGATGGTGGACTGCCACTTTCAGCTGCTGTGTGAAGTGCTGCTGATCTGGAAAATTATAGATATTGTCGAATCCAAATAAAAGAAGTGCCAAAGCTTCTTAATAAACATTTTCAATTAATTTAATCTTAATCCACGACTAGATGATATCAGCAGATTTGATTTATGATTTATTAGGTACCTATCATAATAATATAATAATAATAATAATAACGCACACACTCAACATAGCCCCGCATTAGGGAAACCCTGTGTCGCGGGTGCCATGGACACACACATAGACAACCACAAATTACACCCAAACTCACGAGAGAAATAAATGTAGGGCATACGAATATTTCTCCTGGCCCGGGAATCGAACCTGGGACCTCTGCGTGGCAGTCCTGCATGGTAACCGTTCGGCCATGGAGGCAGTTTCATAAAATAATACTTATGATATCTTAAAGTACATTTAGAGATAACTTACCTCATTTGTTGACAAGCAGACTGATGCATGGTGGTGGTGCAAGCAGTGCCGCAACCTGTCGCGCAACAGCGCTCATTATGTCCACACTCTGCATCAGTTCTGCAGAGCCACTCACAAACTCCATTTGACGGTACCAAGAATGGACAATGGCCAGGTTTTCGGGGCAAACCTAAGTAGAATAAAATACTGTTATAGCTTCGTTTACTTTCGTTTTAGTCTATATTACTCAAGCTTTATATAAATCATGCATCAATCATATTATATGGTCATGCTCCAAGACCATTTAGATACACTACAATCCAGATATACCAGGATTGCAACGTTCTGGCGGTGAGACAGCTCCTTGTGCTCCAAATTATTGTGCAACATCATTCCTCTGTCTCATGGGCTGACTTAAGTTATGCCACCAGAAGAAAGTAACTAGTATGTACGCAAATACACTATAGAACCATAGCAGACAGTACAGGTGTATAAGCTCATTTCTGTACAATAAAATAGATTAAACAATTTAATTAGCTCATCTCAATAAAATCTCTTTACGTTTTTGGTTAATTTGGCTTATGGTTCGACGGAATATTTAACAAACCGAGGATCAATAATATATACTAAATTTTTTTCTATATAGTAATTTTATTGAAAAAAGTCATGCAGATTGCATTAGAAAAATGTCATAACACACACACGCACGCACGCACGCAAGCACCCACAAACGCACGCACGCCCGCACTCCACATGTACGCACACACGTACGCACGACGCACGCAAGCACGCACGCTCACACGCAAGCACGCACGCTCGCACGCATGAACGCAGACACGCACACACACAAACGCACGCGCGCACCACCTAGTTTGTTATCTTTAATATGATTTTATTATTATTATTATTATTATTACTATTTTGTTCGTTTAATTTGCATATTGTTTCAGTTATTCTTATTGATCTTTATTTTCTCTCTTTTACATTATTATTATATTTTTCTATTTAATTTTTTTTTCTCTGTTTACAATTTAATGCAATAACCTTATTGTCACACTTTTTTGTAGTAAGGTTGTTAATTAAGACATCCTACTTTGAGAGTCAGGGAATATATTATTTTGCAATGTTTTAACCTTATCCTAGATTTAATGTTTTTGCTGTGAACTAATGCTTGGAAATAAATACACTATTATTATTTTTAAATCTAAAACTACTTACACGCAGGTACAGGAGGGCAGTACTCAGCGTCACAGGCGACATCCACAACAGTGCACGCCCGATCAGCAGAGCAAGTAACGCCGGAACATGGGTCACGGCATTTACATGTAGGGCATTTGTTTGATCCTAGCTCAAAACCGTAATCACATCCCATGCGGCAAGTTAAGTCTAGACATTCAAGATCTGTTCTTACTCTGAAAGGATGAACAATCGATTAGACTAAAATAAAACCTTTATCATCCAAATATGTATGTATCATAAGATCGCTAGAAACTTTCGGCGAACAAATTTAGTATTTTGACAACTATTGAATTTTGACAAATTTAACGGGGGCTATAACTATAAGACTATGTACTGACCTATCACAATCAACATCTGAAGCATTATTGGTACTGGTCTCAGGTATCTCAGTACCGAAGGAGTCGACACACCAGCAACGTCCATTGGCGCATTGCTGTGCCGTGAATGAACCATCAGATTTGCACGTGGGCGCCGGTAGAGCCAGTTTCATCCCGTCAACGGTACCTTCCATTTTCTCGTCAAAATCTCGGAGATACTCGCACACTGCAATTTTTTAATAATCAAGTCATAACACATAACAGCATAGCATATAACAACATAGTTATGAAATTAAATCTGTGATCTCTTGACTGACTTGTAGGAATATCGTCCACTCTATCTGTCTGTAGACGCATTTTTGCCGGATCAATGCACACAGGGCCACAACTTGTCGTAGAGCAGCACACAAGATCATTGTCGCAAACCCCATCAGCGCAGACCATAGTCGAATTCAGACCACACAATGATTCTGCTTCTGTGCCGCACGTTTCAACGTTTACCTAAGAAATAAATTGTATTTTACAGGTGTATTGTTGCGTTCATATGATATCAAATTCCACGCAAAAATTTAAAATATGTTAATCGACTACTCTTACGACTGTTATTAAATAATTCAATTTCTATTAAGAACATCATCTGACCTCCATAATTTCGCTGTCAGTGGCGTTGTTGTCAAAAGTAGGATCGGGACAGCAAACGGCTGCACTGCTGTGTCTGAACCGCATACAAATATGAGCGCCAGGACAATCTGGATCAGTTTCGCAGCCCACTACACTGCCTATATCGTCCGTCGCTGGGACGCCAACATCGCAGGGATTTTCGTATGATACTCGAGGTCGACCTGCAAAATGAGAAGGAAGTTTAAGAAATTTAGCCATATTTAACTCGTTGAACAAGATTGAATCGGTTGTAGCTTAGTATGAAGGACTTACAGACAGGATATCCAGTGCACAGTTCACTTGAGCAGTCAGCATCTCTGACTCTGACACACTCTTGTTCGTCTGGACAAGGATAACCAGCACAAGGATCGTCACATTCGCAAGTGGGACAACCATCGGTTCCTGATTTATATCCGTATTCGCATACACCTGCGCAGAGTGCCCTAGCGCACGAGTTGAGACTTCGAGCCCCGCTGCGAGTCGCAGGAAGTGGGACTGCAGAACATTCTACTCCATGAGCAGGACCCATTGATCCGCGAAGTTTATTACCATCTGAGTCAACGCACCTGGAAAGTCGAAAATTTAACAACTATTCTAACCTTTGAAATTTACGGAAAATCAATAAAATTACAAACTGACCAACAAACTAAACCATTTCTCGAACATTGTCGTGATCTGAATGACCCGTCCGATGCGCATTGCGGCACATAGCCTCTGCCTTCCTTTTCACTGACCACTAACAGCTCAGCTAGCATTTTTTGTTGCGTGCACATAGTCACATTGTGAGGTAGTGTACAATGTTTTCCACATTCTCCTCCGTCACAACATTTTTGCATAGATGGACATTCGAGATCATGAGCGCAAGGAGTACCACAGTCTTCTTCTGTTGATGACGGCAGTGGACAAGTACCGGCTTTTTGGAGTTCTAGAGACGCAGGGCAACATACGCCATAGTCATTTCCTGTAATATTGATTGTTGAGTATGAGGGTACTATAGTTTTGTCGACCTAGTTAATTGTGGCAACATATCTAATTTAACTTAATTAAATTTTTGTTTACATTTCCAACATAATCTATTTACAAAATACAACCTTAGAGCGGCGTATTTGTCTTTGAATCATGATTGTTATAGATAGCGTCGCATGTTTCAGTAAACATGTCGTATTTGGACAACAATAGGTGATTGTGGCTTATGCTTTATGGACTTACCATTTTCAACGAGACATTTATACAGTGGTGGGCAGTTTGGTTTTCCTGGGTCAGTGCCACATAAGAATGGTCGGTTAGTCTCAGATATAAGAAGGGGTTCACCAGCGGGGCAGATGTTTTGTAAACTTCTGCCTCGTTTACCTGTAAATTTCGAATAGTTGTATTAGGCCTTTGATATATGAAACCGTTTACCACGTCATGCATGACTTATACTAACATGTTGGCACAGGAGGACAAGGGGCTCGCAAGCATGGCGTCTCCTCTAGTTGGCACGATAATGATCCTGGACATGTGATGGATGAACAAGGGTCTCGGCATTTGCAGAGCGGACAGCCTTGTGCATCCAGCTCGAAACCAAGAGGACATAACATCCTGCAAGTGTGAGCCGCACAAGGAGCAGTTCTTGAGCAGTTGACTAACGCTGCCGCCGGTGCTCTTGTGCCAGGAACCTAAAAATAAAATGTTTATTTATGTGCGAATGCAACTCACGTCTACGGCAATTGCCGTGGTTGATTACCAACTCCTTAAAAGTTTACCTTTCTTCATTTGTTTAATGGTTTGGTTGGTCGTGTTTATATGTACGTATAAACAGATAGAGTACATTACTGGTAACTATAGTTAGTAAAATTAACATAATCCAACTCGCGACTATAATAGCGTAGAGTAATATCAATACTACCTATTGCCTGCCTGCCTCCGTGGCCGAACGGTTACCATGCCGGACTGTCTCGCAGAGGTCCCAGGTTCGATTCCCAGGCCGGGAGAAATATTTGTATTGCCTACATTTATTACTCTAGTGAGTTTGGGTGTCATTTGTGGTCGTCTTATGTGTGTCCATAGCACCCGCGACACAGAGTTGAGTGTGTGCGTTATTAATATTATATATGCGTTATTGCATGATGTTATTGGAATGCGTGTCGTGATTGTAAATGTAAGTATATAACCATCTGCATTTGGACGATTGAACCAAAAGTTACATCATGAGTAGCATATACAATTCCCACGATTTCTACATCTCAAACCTATCTCAATGCTCTTTCCAAATTTATTTTAAATTAAAAAATATAAATCAATTTTTAATAATAAATCATACCTCAAATCCAGCCTCATCAACGCACCAACAAGAGCTGACAATCTCATTATCGCACTGGATCTCCTCGAATTCCCCATCAGAGATCCTGCATCTTGGTGCGCGGATTGATTTAAGTGTTCCTCTACCACCACGGCTGTTCTCAGCCACGAGGGCCCGAGATATCCGTTCTGATGACAGTTTTATGTTTTCACAACCTGCAATATAACGCAATTTTAACAGTTTAGCGCATTTTAGTACATCAGAAATACGGGAATTATCGATTTTTTCCCTTAGAATGGTTAGATTCGAGTGACATCTATTTAACCGTGACTAATACCTGTTGTAGCGGCTGAGAAAGAAATTAACTTACAAGGTTGTGTACTTAGTATATATATTCTATTTATATCGCCAGAGAATGACGTACCTGTATAAAGCGGGTCGACGCAGACCTGCCCACAAGATGTGTTGCAGCAGATCTGATTGTCGCAATAGTCGTCTGAGGTGCATGGCGTTGCCCGAGCACTACAAACTCCAGGCTCTGACGGACATCTGCCTATCAGCTCCGCGCTTGCTACAACAATAAAAATACCTTTAACAAAACGATTACCTACCAACATACTACAGTTCTTAGTTATTTATTTTATTTATTTACTTCAATGGCCAAGACTAACTTAAAGAAGCTAAATTAAATAATAATAGTCACAACTGAGAGCCAATTGCAGATCCTCACGAAAAGAAATGTAATAAGGAACGTGGACGCACAATTTAACTAACATGTTACCTACATAAAACATAACTTATTAAGTAAAACATAAAAAGACAACCGCAGTTGCAAGCCTCACTATAAGTCAAAGAAATACCCACTCAGTACTCACCTTGCCGAAATCACACTGGTATTGAAAAGATCCAGATCAAAAGAATTACACATAATGTTAAAATTATTGCTTGCACGCTACATATACTCCCTTTGCCTGTAATTAGTACGGGCCGGGGGTAGAACCAAAACTGGATTGTTTTTGAAACATTTAGAGGGAACTCTCAGAGATATTTGTGATACTAAATCTGGGCAGTCAATTGAGCCTGATGTCTGTGATGTTGACGACAACAGCGCAACGATAGTTGAAATATTCGATAAATTCACGTTAGAATTATAAGATTGTTTTAAAACATTATCCGATCTCCAAGGAAAGAGTGTGGAAAACATTGTTTTGGCCGCACGTGTAGGAATGTGTGTACGTACTACAGAGACACAACGTATGACAAGCTCATGTGAATACGTTATACCACTCACGCGGGATATAACAATGTCTATTGTTTATCTCTGATCTCGGAGGTCTTATATATACCATCTTGCATTACATCATTGTGATATAAAATATACATGACGTGTATATGTATTACATCGAAGTGTTGTTATTAATTTTATGTAACTGTTAATTGGTGAAGTTGTAACCGGTATGTTAACGGATTGACTGTTAATTGATGAAGAATATTGTGATACAATGTTTTATTGGGTTTTATGAGGTTTATTGTACAAGTATTATACCAATTAAATTATAAAATAAATTGTATCGAAATGACCTACAGCGATAGCGCTAAATATAGCTGCATTTATACACAATAAAGTAGTATGACAGAGTTTAACTAAGAGTACTAAGTAATTATAATTAGTAAATTTTTTTTAAGGTAAGAAGACGGCTAACTTAGGTTAGCTCACAGTTGCATGCAACCAACTATGCCAGCTATACTATCTTAGCTTAGCTCATGTCTCACGTAGTTGCATGCAAAGCTAAGCTATGAAAATACGTGGTAAGTAGTGACTATGGATACGTGCGGGGGGTGAAGGGCGGCGGAAGGACGACATATTTTACATAGCTAGTGGGATCGTTGGGTTAGTTTACTTTGGTAAGTTAGCTTTGGGAAATGACCTCTCGTTGCCGGCCGTGGTCAAGGCCTTGGTCGCTGACGTAGCGTCATGAGAGGCGTTGGCCTCATTTTGCGAGGAAGTGATGGCGCAGAAGGAGGCCGCGAAGCGCAGACGAGAGGACGATTCACTCTCGACTCCAACCCTCAGGAGGAGAACGGGCCGAAGAAGGCGGGCTTATGCCCACATGCTTCCGCCCCCATTGGGGCCCTCGGGCGTCAGGTTTGAGGAATCCTGCAGCTCGGACGTAAAGGTACCCTGGCGATGGTAGTGGGCTGCCAAGTGTTCCAGGCAGTCCACTGCGATTAAGAGAACAGGGTGAACAGCTATTCCCACCCTGGACTCTGGAAGGGTCCGTGCAAATGGACGGCACTGATGGGTTCGCGGAAGAATGCGGAGGAGTCCCCGCGTTCCCGTCACAAGGAGCGTGGAGGAACACTCCCGGAGTATTAATGGGTAGGTCTGTCTTTTTAGAGAAGAGAGTCCCACATAACCTCGCGCTTTCTCCGGGTAAAAAAAAGCTTCGTTCGCGGAGTGACCTCAGCATTATTCACGATAAAGTTTCGTTTGCTGTGTTCATCAATACATATACGAGTACTTAGTTCAATGTCGTAATATTCTGCTATACAGCGTTATTAAATAAAACAGACATAATATGTCTCCTTTTGCTATAAAAAGTTCATTGTGGACTTTGCTATGAAAATTATTCACCAACTTATAAAACGCAAAGAAAGTACAGGTTATCATAATCATAGCCCTCCCCGCACTTTCGATTTCTCTAAGAAATCAGCATCAATAAGCATTTTTCTAATCTCGGATATAACGTGCGCAGTATAGCAGCGGTAAGCTAGAAAGTGGGCATGCGCAACGGACCGTATTGCAGGAGCAGCACGCAGGCGCAGAGCAGCGCCGCCCTCACCGCGCGCACCGACTGCATTCCTGCTGCATTACACACAGACGATCTGTGAACAAACAAACGATTTTTTGTTAGGTTTATTATTATAAATTTTTAGTGAATACATAATATCGCACTTTCATGTGCGATACTATATACTTGGTACTCGGTGTAACGGGCTGGTGTCCGCGATATTATGTATTGACCAAGTACTTTTGTAACTCAAAAATTGTGAAATTGAGAAAACACGATTTGAAAATTACAAAAATAATACTCAATGAACCCAAATCCTCTACTATTGGAGTAGGCTGTGGGTGATATATTTTTCTGTATCTAATCTCTAATTGGAGAGGATGCGGGTTATATTTTTCTGTATCTAATGGAGCAATAAACATGTTTGACATAATTCCACTTATGCCATTCTTTCGTGGGTGAAATCCAATAAACCGGATGCATCCCCTAATGTGCCACCGTTAGAGGTGGAATATTTTCTTCAAATTCAAATGAGACCACTAGTCAGTAGTTACCTTTTCAACAAAAAAAAAAAATCACCGAAATCGGTACAGAAATACGCCGAATAGAGGACCTCCTCCTGTTTTTTAAGTCGGTTAAAAAAGAATCACAATCACTAAAAAGTCTATTTACAAATCAGTAACATTTATTGTATGAACTGGTAGAATAAAGGTGTTACATGCAATTTGATTCACAGTCATTAGAAGTTAGATTGAAATAGTATATTTATACAATATGAATGTTGGTGGTTTGCTACTTACAATTTCTTGTTTTATATATTTCATATCAAAGAAAAACTTTATTCTTTGACGCACAGAGAAAACGATTAATTAAATTCCGATTGCATGAATCCTTATAACAATGAGTACGCATCAGGATGCGACGCGTGTGCGCATATGTCCTCGTGCCACTTGCGTATTGCACACAGCGGGCTTTCCCGCATATTGTCTGTTGCTTGTATCATAATATGTAATATTATGTATGTTTGGCATATTACTAACAGGAGTTATTTATACATAGTTATAAACTAATGTCACAGGAAGAGATCTGTCCAGTAATGTGTACTTATGGTACCACAACATAGAACTGCAGCATTGAGGGGTTGGGGTTGTAGTTTGAAATATTATAACCGCCACCTATACAGGGAGAATTGTTAAGTGTGTTTATTTGTATGAGATAACAAAAACCTTTAAACTGACATCGAAATGTTGCTTATGCCATTTCTTCCACCGACGATATCGAGTGTATACGAATAATACTAATAATTTTAGATGCACTATTTACATTTTATTATATTTATTATTTCGTAGTCGTCCTTATATTTTTGCTTACAAATAACTTTTACGTTATGAGTCGAGACTACCACAGTTCGAATTCAATTTTTTCCCGTACTAATACGGTTCATTTTTGCTTGGCTCATTGGCTTTATTTCAGAATTTATTTTTTACAAACGAAATTAAAGCTTATTATTTTTAAATTAAATTAAATTTTAATTTAAAAAAAATTTAAATTAAAGTTCTATTTAGTTCAGTTGATATAAACCTACTTACCTATTGAACACATAGGTTTTCTTGAAAATTTCGAGATAAGTTTGTTTTTTTTTTCTAACATGGAAATTTGCAGGAATCGTGTTTACAAACCATATAGTAATCAGCGTATTTCCTCAATTTTACTATAACATATAATTTTTCCAAAATGATTGATGCTACACTTTCACTGTTATGCTGAATCAACCAAAGCCATATTTTGAGGTTGTATAAACTGTTAAGGACTTACAAGGAGGACTCCTTGTTGGTTCGGTATGTACACCAGCTCCTTAAGGTACCTAGTCATATGCTGAGTCAGCGCCCTGTCACTGCTATGCAAAAACGTATTTCTTTTTTAAAATTTAATCTGTATCTGCGTTATTTAATTATATCGGTTAATAAAGTTTATCTATCTAGTTATTTGCAAAAATATTTAAAAATCTCACTTTATCTTAACTTTGCCTGCTTATAGGAAAAAAAACTGTCTGTGTAAAATCTGCGGTAGTGACCCGTTTAGCTTTAGCTGGTAGTCTCGATTAATGATGTTTGAAAGAAATATTGTAAATGATAAATATGTACACATGTATATTTACTAGAGCAACCCTAGAGTTTCTTGCTCATTCTTCTCAGGGGAATCTGCCTTACGAATGAGGCAAATTCTACTTGAGATATAACGATTTCAAGTATAATTTGCGTACCTATGAAATAAAGACTATCTGAGTTTCAGTTTGGTATTTCAAAACCCTAGGCCAACGAATTCGTTAAGGAGTTGGGTCGTCGCCTTAGAGATACAAGCTGTGATCCACGCTCTCGATCTTACTTGGTGCAACAAATTTCGTTGGCCATTCACCGCGGTAATGCGACGGTATGGCGACGTTTGAACCAGCTAAGATTCAGAGCGGTCCTTTTTCATGGCTAAGTCTGGCGAATTGTATTTATTAATTTTTATTTGGCGAAGCCTGTTGCTGATTTATATTTGTGTCTTCCTGAGAAAGCCTGCGTTGCGGATTGACATATGTAATTAATTTAGTTTTTAAATGAATTGTATTTTATTATATAAATGAATTGTATTGAATTGTATTTTAAAAGCAAATTTTTCGTTAGCCTAATTAAATCAATGTTATGTGTAAAAATTCATTGCCAGTCAGCAATTTCCTTACGCAAGCGAAAAATACATAAAGCTTTCAAGTACTTTTGTTTAGAACATTTAAAACAACATATGATAAATAACCTCTTACCTCTGCTGAACTCAAACTGTATCGGCAGGTGTTCCCTGTATGTGCAGACATATAGAAATATTTACGAGCTGAGATGGTATACCTAAGTAGTATAAAACAACTACAAGAAATAATGCTTTATAAGCCTAAATTCATTTGTGCAAGCTGATGTTAGTGTACCTAATTCACGTTGCAAATGCTTTGATCCTTGAAACAAAACAATTGTATCGGTCACCGTTTGTGGTTTATAAACATTTCAAAATTGTGGTTTGTACCCCTTTTGTACTGCTTTTTTTATTATACAAACAATCCCAAAGGTTATGTAGAAATATTGGCTATTACGATTGTGTTATTGCAGTCGCGATTATTATTAGATCGTGATCTGGCAAACAAAACCTTACATAATAATAATATACGTGTGATAAACCTCCGCCTGACAATATTTATTTCAGTAGATAATTACTGAGTTTGCTTATCGACTCATCCGAAGAACAGAGTCCGATGTGATTATACACCGAAAAGAGGATATATATACATAATCTTGTTATTCACTAAGGCCTATGTATAGGTGTGTTCAGAATTTTTATTATTATTTCATCTCGGAAATATAAAATCGAACAACAGTGGATCTGACATCTACAGCGAAGAACAACGATAGAAATGTACAGCGTCCTGAGAATAAGCAATCTTGCACATAGGTCTTTGTTCTACGGATGAGTCGTTATGGTAATGAACTATTGTTAATACATTTTGAGGAACAATGACAACGGTATGAAATTGTATAATATATATATATTATAGTTGTCTGTGTCGTTTAATCATCGCCGCGAAAACGATGAAACAAAAAATTTCGGGTTTTTGTACTTTCTGTTTTTAGATATTATGCATTATACCTATTAGTTATTATTTATGTATTTGTTTGTTTTCATTATTTCCTTTTATCTCGTTTGTTGCGCTCAATAATTACGTTGATAAAATTACTGTGCAGGACTGTCAAAATGTTTTATTTAAAATCAGCTGTGACTTTACAGCCATGTTGTGCAGTCATTGGTCGCGGTGCTCGTGATGACATAAAAATGTGACGTCTCGTTGCTGGCCATGTTAGCTAATGTGATAAAATTTTAAAATGCCGATTTATCACTCGAATTTGACAGCTAAATGTGGATATAATAGCTTTATCGCAGCGGCATGCTACGGAGACTGATCGTGTCAAAAGAATTTTTCGTCTTAAACTGTATCGGTCGGTTCAAGATTTAAGGATTTAAAGATTCTACGAACGAAATTACTCGGTTTTTTTTTGTGAACAAGAAAGTTATATATATCCAGAACTAGCTTACAAAAAGTTTGTCTAATTTTGAGCTAAGCAGATATCTTTTAATTGTTCCTTTCAATATTCTAACGACAGTTGTATTGACGTGTTGAGAATTTAATTTTAGTTTCAGCAATAGTATAATCATGAATTTCACCTATTTTGAGTTACACACTATTGTAATAGCAGTGCGATATAATCTCAGTACATAGTACTAAAAAAAAAGGCTTCAAAAATTCGTGGAATTACATCTATTTGTCAAGTTTTATCGCAATCGGTTACCGGAATATGCGCGAAACCATGGCGAAACCGGATTTATCCTTTAGTTTGCCACCCTTAGAGGTTATTTTCTTCAAATTTAAATGGGATCAACACTGAGGTACCTACCCTCTTTTCAACAAGAAAATAATCGTCAAAATCGGTTCACAAATGACGGAGTCATTGCGTAACATACACACAAAAAAAGAAAAAATAAATAAACTACAGTCGAATTGACAACCTCCTCCTTTTTTGAAGTCGGTAAAAAATAGATAGAATTAGTACTCGGAGCAGTATGTTAGAATAATGTTTTGCATTACATACCTATTTAGTAACCACTGAAAAAATCTGACTACAATCAAGTGGATTTTTAAACCTTTTGCCAAATTATTAACCGATTTAAAAAAAATGGAGGTGGTCGACTGTTTTTTTTGGTTTGTGCATGTTATGCGATTATTCCGTCACTTGTGAACTGACTTCGATATTTTTTTGTTTGAGGTCGGTATTTTATAAAATAGTTATTAATGAATCATTAATTTCACTGTTTAAATTTGTTGCTGCAAACATTGTGTTTGTTGCTGCAATAATTAGGTTGGATAGTCACAGATGGAAACATATTACATTATCACCTAAAACTTGAATTGCTTTTTGGTAATTGAATAAAAAAATTAAAGTAATAAAACGTTTGTTTTGTCTCAAGTATTTTATGTGACGTAACCTGTGCATGCTAACTGATTATATTTAC